TAGTATATAGGGATCAGAACGTTCTGAGGGATTTCCTTTGGTGGTTATATATATAGATATATATAGGGATCATAGAAAAGAAGATGGAAACTACTATAGTATATAGGGTATATGTATATGTATATATATATATGCATATACATATATATATATATCTCTCTCTCTCTCTCTCTCCCTCCCTCTCTCTCTGTCTCTACACCTGCAGAGCCATGGCACAAAGCGAGGGGACCCCGCCGCGAAATCCTTGCCAAGAGTAATGGGCTTGCTGCTGAGCTCAAGATTTGATTCATCCACGATGCTGACTCTTCACCCACCAGATTGGCAAGAGTTCTTTGTTCGGCGACTGGGCTTCAGCATGGCTATCTGAATGTCAATGTTAGCACACTTGCATTGAGGGCTCCTAAACGCAGAGAACTTGCAAAATTAACTCGACAAGTTCTTCTGTTCTTGGCAGTGTTTCAAGCTGTTGCCAAAGAGCCACGTCGCGCGGGTCAGGTGGACTATGTTGACAGCCACGTTGCACCTGGCTGAGAAAGCGTTGCAGCTTTTGCTATCCATTCTGGGGCCGGTCAAGATTTCGCTGAACTGGATCGCGTTGCAGTCCCTGGTGTCGTTTACAGGTACTTTCCTTTCATGGTACTTCGTTGCGAAGCGCCCGGTGTGTGGCAAAGTCGGCTACATTGTTTTCTCTGCCTTTCTTATCCTGACCTACTTGTCCAACATATTCTTTGTAATTGGGGAAGAACCCATTTCTCTGGCCCATGGCTGCTGTGGTCAGTGCCTGGCTTCATGATACTTGGCCTTGCTTTTTGGCAATTGCGCAGTGTAGGCAAAAACAAAAAGATCTGTTCCCAGAATCCAAAGATAAGTTTTAGCGTCAGGTTTTACCCTAAACCCTAAAACCCTAAAACCCTAAATCCTTAAATCCTTAAACCCCAAAATCCAAGGAGAGGTTTTGCTTGTCTTGGCCTCGCTGGTATCATCCAACCGGGCACTGAGCGTGAAGTGCCTTTGGTGGTGCTGCCGGAGGCTGCTGTCCAACTTACTGGTGCTTCAGGGAGAGTGGGGGAGTGGATCCCTATCTAGGTACCCCAGTAGCTTATTATAAAGGGGTTACTGGGGAACCTAGCTATAATAGGGTATGGGGATAAGGGTTTTGGGGTATAGAGTCTAGGATTCAGGGAGTGGATCCCTATACTAATCTCATATAATCCCCATATATACCCCTATAATGATACTTACATTCACTCCCCAACTCCCCCTTAAGCACCAGTAGGCCAATTCCTGACTCGCAATTTTTAGGGATGCCGTCGGCTCGCTATTCTTGGAAACTACCATGCTGCCGATAACCTACGTAGCCCAGGCAATCCCCTGAGGTTAGGGGTTAGTGATTAGGGATGCTGAAATCACTTCCGGCATAGTAACTTTACATTTCGAGCGTCAAGCTCTGTTACCGCTGAACCTTTTACCTTACCACAGTGCAGGCACAGATGACCACACCAATGCCGACGTCTGAAGAGTTAGGGGTTTTGGATTAAGGGTCTAAGGCTTAGTCTACGATTACATGTTGGCAGCTCTTGGCACAGCATTTGTGAAGAACATCATGAAAAAGGGCCGTATTTGGAAGCCGCCCGAAGCAGTAATATAATGTCGTACTAAAAACCAGAAGTGATAAGAGGATTACTAGGAATAGTGTGGCGTTGTAAAATGATAAGAAGAGTCGTAACAATAGCAGCCCTGGCTTGAAGTTGTAATACAAGCCAAGCAGGCAGAGAACCATCCGCAGCACATGGGTGCATGACTTGCCTCTGGCTAGCAGGAAATTCTGCAATGGAAAAGAAAACGGAAACTCCATATCAGTGAGGGACTATATAGGGACTCTTGAGGGACTATATAAGGGCTACCTCATAAGGGAAACTCTTTTATGCGTACGTGGCTATATAGGGACTAATTTAACGGAAGCTCTACATTATTGAGGGGCTAAGGGATCCATTCCTCATTCGTACGCGCACCCTCACCCAAGCCGACATGGAGTCCCACAAGAGGTCGCGAACAGATCCTGTCCGTGTAAACATGGGCGAAATGGGGTTCGATGCTCGTTTCACTGGATGCTTATCCCTTACTACTGTAGTTCGCATGACCCCGCACACGCAAACACAGGGATCGTGCGAGAAAAAAGCTGGAAGTGCCATGTGTTGACCGGTGTTTGTTTGCGCATTGCTTTCTGCCCCGTTTTTGTACAACAGAGTTGCTCAGACAATGCTCAGGTCTACGAACTGGATGCTTGCTACCTCTCTCATTTCGGTATAACTTCCCCTCTGTCGTGCAGCCTTGGAATAACGCCAGGACAGAATCTCTCGTGGTCGACACAAAAGCTCCCATACTTTTCGGGACGTTACGGCGACTTCTGACATTCACCAATTGTGTCAACATTTTTGTTTGCATTGATATTCTTGTATTTCCTTCTCTACACAACTTGTGTAAATTGGGTAATTCTGCGCAAGAATGCACGCCAGCATTAGATCCCAAGCCTGAACACGTTGATAAACTAACAATCAAACCCTAGCCTATAAGCGTCACCAAACCCAGCTTCCATTTCATTTTCCATTTGATCCTCCATTATTGGGGGGTATTACCCCAATTGGCAGACAGCGTGAACCAGAAGTAAAGCCCCCTAAATGAACTCTCTCCTTGATGTTTAGGGTTTAGGCTTTAGGCTCGAATTAATGCTTTATGCTTTAAACCCTAACCCACCGCCTGAACTGGTAGTTTCCCTAAATCGGGGGACCCCAATACAGACCCCGAAAACACTATAGTCCTTCACTTCTTGTTCTACGGACCCCCAATAAGGTACCCCTAGTCTTGGGAAACCCGAAGCCCTAAACCCTATGTAGAGCCTGCATACCCCTATATAACCCCTATAAGGCACCCCTAGTTTTGGCAAACCCTAAGCCCTAAACCCAATGTAGAGCGAGAATACCCCTAGATAAACCCCTATAAGGTACCCCTAGTTACCCTAAACCCTAAACCCGTAACCCTAAACCCACCTCGCCAGCCCAAAAAGCAGTGAGCAGGCTTGGGAGCTGGAGGGTTTGTGCCAAGCACTCGGAAAGGATTTGGGGGTTTCCCGAAATTGGGGGTATTTTTTGGGGTTCCCTAGCATAAAGGACTATAGTATATTGGGGTCCTTTTTGGGGTTCCCTTATTTTGGGAAACTACCATGTACAGTTTCGATTTGAGGGGATTCTGGCAGTTGAGGGTCGGCGTTTAGGGCCGCAATGCTCCGAAAATGGATTTTGAGGTCGAGGATTACTAAGCGCTGACGTCAATTGAGACGTCACTCAAGGAAGGGTTGGTTCAAGAAGTTTTTGTGGGTATCTGCATCTTGTGCATCCTTATCGGAGGCCCGCGGCAGCAGGTATGTTGAGCTGGATGCTCTACCTTCTTTGTGCCATTGCGAGAATGACTTTCATTTCTCACACTAAAACCCAATCAGGCAGATGACATACATATGTGTAATCATATCCCAGCACTGAGACCGCTTTCTGTCTTGGCCTGGACCTATAGGTGACTATAGGTGTTGAAGGTTTGACAGTCGCATGCGCATGAGCTTGAGAAGCCGTGGCTATATTGGAACAGAATGGTAAAACATCATGTGTACGTGTTTCCCTGCATCCGTGTATATATATATACACATCTATTTCTATATCTATATGTATATATATATATATACACGCATGTCTTGAACTGTGAACATGAATGCCAAAGAAGGTTTGCATTCAAAACAACTACAATGGCCTCGCGCCGCCAGCAAGGGCAATGCCAAGTAGTTCAAGACATGGGCCTTAATCTTAGGATAAAGTCCTAAACACTAAACCTATAAAGCCCAAATCCCGAGGCAAGAACCTCCACTTGGACATCGGTGAGGTCAGGAATTTGGGGGGTGTGGTGAAAAAGGGATGTATTACTCCGAGCATGGAAATCAAAATAGTAAATGCAATGCACACGCGAATGATTTACGGTAGGGGAGTTGGGAATGCAGGCTTTCGGCTTTACAGCTGTAAGAGCTCCCTACACTCTATATATCCCTATGCAACCCCTATATCCTTTTCAAAGGTATCCCTACTTTTGGGAGGGGTTGGGCAGGACATTCGGGGTCGCAGTTGCGAGGGTTCCTCCTAGTTCACAGTAGGGGGAGTAGGGGTTCAGGGGCGAGCTGGTAATCAAAGAAAAGCTGCGCCATGTAAGCTATGGTCTAAACTCCTTAAGAGGCTCAGGGGGGTTTTATACGTGATTATATAGGGGACTGCTATACAGGTTACTAAGGGAGATCCTAGGAGTTTAGACTGGCTCATATACAAGCTGCAAGTCCTATAAGACTCACAGACTCACAGATGTCAATGCTCCGAGATCTTACCAAGTCTGCTCCACCAGAAAGTCTAATTTTTTCAGGCTGTTCAGTCATGTTAAGTGCTTCCCGAACCCTAACCTTCATCCCTGAACACTAGATCCTAGACACCAACACCTACATGCTAAGCTTCTAATTCTAAATCCTAAGCCCGAAACCCTCAAGCCCTAACCCTCAAGCCTAAGTTCCAAGCCTTAAATCCAACACCCCAAACCCTAAACCCTACGCCACAGAAGCTCATGGTATGTGCTGGGAATCGCCCCGAAAGGATGAACAGATTGATTCAGGGCTTCATTTGAACTGAAAAAAGGGGCTAGGGTGGCTACATACTTGGAGGGTCAGGGGGACTTAGTATGTAGGTTAATTCTGGGGATATTTAGGGTTACTCTGTGGGTTATATGGGTTATTAACCTACTTACTAAGTCCCCCTGACCCTCCAAGTAGGTTTCAGGATTTTGGAACTTAGGGGTTGAGGGTTTAGGGTTTAGGATTTAGGGTTTATTAGTGGTTGAGGAGTCTAAGGGCCAAATTAATCAGCTGGAGGAAATGGAAGCTCGGTTCATATAGGGGGGAGGAGGGATCGTACGTACGGGCCTATTCGACGAAAACCCCCTAAGAGGCACGGACGCTTGTGTAAAATGAGAGGAGGTTTTCATAAGACAGATGTCATGCTTGCATCAGAACTCTGTTCCAAGCATGGTAGCTGTCTTATCACTTATCACCAAACACCAAAATTATCCTAAGCCCTAAACCCAGGCCCTGCGTTCTGGGATTCCCGCCTTCATTTCTTTCAGGCAAGCCATTCGCTCATTCAGGTGTCTTCTCCACGTAATCCCTTCTCCCTAAGAGCGAACGCCCACCCCCTAATCATCAATACTCACCCCGTCATAGAACGCTTCTATATTGGTGGCATGTATGATAAAAAGGAATGTATAACTGTCGGAGGGACTAACTTTATTTGTGTGTCACTCAAATCCAAGGTTTGAGCTTCAGGATATTTCGGTGAATGGGTCTAAGGGTTTGGCGCTTGGGGCTTAGACCGAAGAAGAAAGCCCTTGAAGCTTCAAGAAAGCCCAAACTTCGCGTCTGAAGCAAAACGGTTTCCAATCTCAACGGCCAGGTCATGCCGGATGAGGACCTTCTAAAAGAGGAGCATTGCAGTGTGCCAGCTGGGTCAGCCTTGGGGGTTGGGTGTGCCATGTATTAGGTGTGTCATGCATCAGACGTCTGAGGCTGGGAAAGCAACGGCCCCACAAACTGAAACCTGGCAAAAGGGACCCTTGTGGATTGTTGTCCATCTAGAGGGTGGCTATATCAGAAGATTTTGGGAGTAGCTCCTTGGAAAGTAGGTTCTGCAAGTAAGCACAGGGTTAAGACGATCCTTTCTTACCCTTAGGCCCTTGAGCTTTGATGTTACGATGCCAATCCTCATGCACCCGTATGTTTCCCATTGTTACGCCTACCCCAGACAAGTAATGCCCGGAACCACAACAGCAGGAGGTTCCTGGAGAAGCACCCGCAGCTCAGCACTAGAAAAGGCGCGCTCGAAAGTCAGGATTCAGGTTTTTACATCGGGCTAGTTAGGATATTTTGGTGTTGCTAGAGTTTTGAAGGGCTCTTGGTCATCATATGATGAACGATCCGGATCACTTAGGGAATCTCCTCTTGGAAGCGTTATAATTGCTGAGCTAAGATGCATATAATATTGCCCCTATATAACCCCCATATAAACCCCTACATTTTCTCCTTTATAACTCCAATAAGACCCCTACAACCCTTATACTCCCAATGCTTGGCTTCTTCATTGCCGTCTTGTTTGAGTCTGCTGTGCACCTCATGCAACTTCCTGTCATGATTAAGTTTGAAACATTCGGTTATACTCATGTATGTGATGTAGCATCCAATCATGTGTTTTTTCTGTGTATAAACATATGAGCTACGGGATTATATGGGGACCATTATAGGGGTTATTAAGGGGGATACTAGGAGTTAGACACTAGCTCATATGTATATGTACGGTCTTCTTTTGGAGAGATCATAAATGAAGGCATGGGCCCTGTAGCTTCGCGAGGAGGTCAGAGCGCTAGGGCTTTCACGCTCTTGGCCCTGCTGGTGATGTTCACGTTGCTAGGCCCCAAGATTATCTTACGGGTTCTTAGTAGGGAATGAGGGAATATAGCCTAAACCCTACAACACTAATAATCCCTATATAGTAGATGCCCTTATTGCCTACTAAGAAGCAGTAAGTTATTTTCGACGTAGGTGCTCAGGACCGAACAAGAGTGAGGAGGAGGAGGAAGCGGAGGCGGGGATGAGGATGAGGAGGAGGAGGGAGACTAGAACAGTATTAGTATGCTTGTGATTATTCGTCCTATTACTATTATTACTATCATTACTACTTCTGTTAGTATTACTATTATTACTACTATTCTTTGTAGTAGTATTATTATTACGTGGTTGGCATCGTTGCTTCCACCAGGTTTAGGCTGTCAAGCTTTACGAACGGGACTCTGCAGGTTTCCCCGGATTGAGCCCCCCGGTGGCACCCTGTTGTCAATTCCTGATTTCTGGCCTTTATAGGACGCAGTCCTCGATGCGACCTTGAGACATGCAAGTAGAGCACAAATCGGACCAGCTATCGCTACAAACGCTGAACAACAAGACTTGATCTTCTTTTTGGCTGTGGCCCGAAAGCTGTGAAGGCCAAACCTTAGTCCTGCAGCCCCTGGATTGAAAAAGCTTCCACACAATCACAAATGCAGCCCCAAGAAGGGCCGTGTGCAAACTACTGCCAAGGGGGGTGTATACGGGGTTGCGTGTTAGTTTGGGGGAGTGTAAAGGCGAAGCCTCAGTCTCAAATCTACTGCAGCTGCTCGTCTCAAACCGGGACTTGGGGCAGCCAACGTGCGTTGCTTGATAACCCTCCCGACTCTTCGCATAACCTTTTTAGTCCTCCTTAGGTAGATACCTCCGCCAGAGGAAATCTTGCACCACTCTATGCACCTTCTACCCTACTGGACCTACAGTATATTGGTGATCTCAAGCGAGCAAAAAATTTCCTCCATCCACCATAGGACCGGGGCTTGACAGTTTAGGTTACCTGGGTTACCCGCATAGGGTCGGCCTCTGCATGAACAAGTGCAGCTTGTTCCATGCTGTGCTGCCGGGAGCTCAGCGCCATCAGACTGAGGAATCTGCCTCCTTTTTCCAGGCGAATCTAGATTTGTAGTTTTGTGGTAAAAAGCGGAAGTGGTCTAGGAAGGGACTTCTTTTAGATTCCAATGTTCGTCGGGAGTAAGCTTAACAGTGCCAGACTCATGAAGTTCCTTGCCCATGCACCACCTGCAACAGACCTCTCACCTTAATAACGGTGCTCAGAGACTGGACGCCGCAAATATGAGCTTGGGGCAATGTCGCGACATGCTCTCCTCGCACTGCGCAGAGGGAAGGGAAGGAAGACCGGAAGCCATAGAGCCCCCATGGAAGGTTTTCGTGTGTTACCTTGAGTCATTTGCATGCGGGACATACAAGGGCACCCCTTGCTGGAAGATCCCCACGTCCCGGTGATGATGCTGATGATGATGACCATGATTGTAATCATGATGATGATGGTTATGATGATGCTGACCATGTTGTTGATGATGATGATGATGATGCTGATGATGATGATGGTGGTGATGATGAACATGAAGACGACGACGACGACGACGACGACGACGACGATGATGATGATGATGATGATGATGGCGATGATGATGGCGGCGCTGCGCCCGAGCCCCGGAGAAAAAAAAGATAACTCTTGACATGATCTTACCCAAACTGTCCAAGCATCTACATATATATATATATGAACTTTTGGAAAATTCTACATGACTGCAGTTGGGTCTGCTTGATTAGTATCATTTGGGTACTTAGACCCAGTCATTTCGTACTCGGACCAGAAGCCCTCCAAACCCCCAAGCATTTCCCTAATCCTGAACCCTTGAATCCAAATTCCTGAATCCTAAGCCCTAACCCTTGAACCCCAATCCAAAACCCTGAATCTGAAACCCTCAAGTCCTGAATCCTGGTCCCCCTGAACCCTAAATCCGAAACTCTAAGTCCTGAATCCTGGACCCTACATCTTCAATCCCCAGCGCTCGGGTTAAGGGCTTTGGGCGGCCGCCTTGCTTCACGAAAGCCGAGCTCTCCGGGAAGGGAAGCAGGTCACTCTCTCCATCGCTTAGCGTTTAGGGTTTAGGGTAGTACAGGGACAATATGAGGTGATGTAGGGGTTATAAAGACTATTCTAGTATTTACTTTCGGGGGGTAAGTGGGAAATAAGGGAATATAATCCCTACATAATCCCTATTTGATATATCCCGTAATATTCCCTACTAACCACCACTAAGCAGAGAGTTTAGGATTTAGGGGTTGGCATGGGGCTTGGGTCTTGTGATTTCGGGTCAAAGGTTTAGGATCCATAGAGTTTAGGGGTTGGTTGTAGGGTTTGGGGGTTTAGGACTGTGAGTATTGTATGTTCAAGGTGTCACGACTTAGATGTTTTCGGTCTTGAGGCTCTCGTGTTTAAATTTAGTTTCAGGCGTGCCTTGGGGAGCTGATAAAGAATCATTCTACTAGAGGTGTATTCAACACAAAACAGCTCTGCCAATCAGGCATGCCCCTACACTTGACTGGGTAGTTTCACACAAATGGAGGGACCCCAATACAGACCCGAAATAGGATAATCCTTATTCTGGGGACCCTGCCAAATGGTACCCCTACTGCAGCAATTGGGGCTTGAACTTGCGGATCTCAAGGTTGAACAGCGTTGGCAAATGGGGTACTGCTCTGCCCCCGAGAATTTCGGTTTGGACAGATGGGGCCCTACAAGCTAAAATCGTGGGTCTGTTTTGGGCACGGGGGGTAACTGTACCCTGTGAAAAATCGTCCTGCAGCTACCCCGGCAGGAGTATCTAACTTACGGTCTTTACTCTGAGACTAGGTACCTCAGTAGTACCCTTTTTTCCTTTCTTTTTAAAGCTGAATATTAGGAACAAGGGTACCCTTATTATTCAGGGGGTACTGGGGAACCTAGGGCAGTATCTTGAGAATCTCCCAAGTGCTGACGTAAGCAGCCCATTTCGACAGGTGAAGGGCTTTTCAGGGCCGTGGTTCAGGCTAAGGCGAAAGCCCGAATAGAATGGCTTCACTAGTCCCCCTAAACCCTGAACCTTAAACCTCTCAACCCCCAAGCCCGAACCTGCAATGTTGGGCCCGACCCCAAGAGCTCTAATCCCTATAGATGCAATCCTGATCTTAAGGCATGTACACCTTAAACCCTAAACCCTAAGCCCCTTCCCAAGCCGGAGGCCTTGCAGCATAGTCCTCACCATCCTTGACCAGCCAGCTCATTCCTGCAGGTTGCAAGAGATAGCCTAGTCCAAGAGCCTGACTTCACCAACTCCAAGTGTGAGAATCTGCAGCTGGTACGGCAAAATCTGGCTGTGGACATCGTGGGTTGGGGTGTTGGATTGAAAGTGTCGACTCTTTTAGGATCTCGGCCTGTTGGGACATTTTGAACGGAGGTGTATAGGGCTTTAGGGTTTTCTTCTTTCTCAGTTTCTGTGTTGCTTCGTTTCGGGGGCTGCAGGGAATATATGCGTACATGGAGTCAGAGATGGATCGTCGGACGAAAAAAGTCTTTGTGAAGCAGTTTTTGGTGTCTTAGGAGTCATATGAGCTATAGTCTAAACTCCTAGTATCCCCCTTTAAGAAGCCCTAGAATCGTCCCCTATATACACCCCTTTACAGAGTTTAGACCATAGCTCGTAGAATGCAGGGGCTTCAATAATTTCAGCAGACCTTTGGTTGAAAATTAGGAAATGAGTTGTATATCAGGACAACTCTGAGGAGATAAAGTCCCGGTAGAATATGGGTTTAGGGTTTCGGGGTTTAGGGTTTAGGGTTTAGGGATCCGATTATAATATACCCAAAGACATATTCTATCTACTTAAGGGGGATTATAATCTTGGCGAATAATCTTGTCAAATATTCAGTTCAGGGCTCATCCCTTAGGCTTTGAGGAGGATGGTATGAGGGTTCAAGGTAGGCAGAACCCTTAACCCTAAACCTTAGGAATCGTCCCGTAGCCTCCGTTACCTTTATGGGTCACACTAGCGTTTCATGTTATACCTACCTGGTATAGGGTGTAGGATGTAGGGAGTAGAGTTTGGGGTAAGAGGGTTTTACGGCTTAAGTTTTTCCCTTCGGATTCGCGGATCGGCGAAGGACTGAACATATCTCACGGCACGCACGCTTGAAGTGTTCATGTTTCCAAAGGAGATCTTTCAGGCAAGCGCTTCTACGTTGCTATATAGCCCTTCCTCAACGCATGAAGACGTACTAGTCATCTCCTTCACGTGCAGCGTTAGTAGAACCTGCTGTTCACAGGCGTAACCTCAATAGTTTTCGGAATTCCTTGCTGATCGAGGCGTTCTGCGGTGGGCTTATATTGGGTTGTGATGGGATGGGTTGTGCACTGAGTGGGAAAG